TGGTGTGGTGTGGGGGGGGGGGGGGGGCTGTTAATGCTGGATGTTGGGAGGAATGTAGTGTTAGTGGAGGGTTCATGTTGGATGTAGTGAGGGATGAACTATGAGCGGGGGTGAGGCAGCCTGAAAGGGAAGTGCTGCGACCAGGGGTGAGGTGGCTGGGGAGGGATGTGCTGTTAGTGGGGGGGTTGAGCCTGTGTTTCTATTGGCCATGAAGACCTCTGACATGAGACTTACCATTCCCACACTTTATGCAAAGCCCTGACCAACATGGCTTCCAGCAGGCAGATACAGGGAGGACTTCCCTTGTGGTGTTCTGCACTTGTCATGTGACATGTCACGTGATACAATAAGGGAAGCCAGGAAAAGAAGGCTTTCCTATAGCTACCCGCATAAAAAATGCACTTTATAATTGTTATAAAGTGACCAGAAACACACAGCCTAGGCCAGAAACACTGTGCACGTGGCTTTACTTGACACCACTTTCCTTTCATAACTAAAGAATTTACTTTCTGCTCAGACCATAAATGTTGCCAGTTTGTCTTCATCAGTCTCTCCCCCATCAGCCAGCAACAGTTGTTAAATTCTAATAAGTGTCAAAATAACACAAATTGTTTCCAGTATTTTACCCTCTTTCCTGAATGCCATGACTATGAAGTCTGGTACTGCCCTTACGTAGTCTATGCACTTATGTGGTGTCTAAATAAAGATTTTTCCTCCCACTCCTCACCACAGAAGTTTGGGGGGTAACCTAGAAGCAAAGAATTTCTGTGACATCACAGGTGGGTGGCATTCTGTAATCTGTCATTATGGAAGAAAGCCAAGTAAAAGGGAAGCAACTATGTGCTTCTCAGAAAAATATAACAAACCCCTAAGTAGGCTAGACATCTTCCTAAATTAAATACAACCAAACCAAAAACAATATGGAGCATAGGCTTCATTCAAGGCTACAAGAGGGCAATGTATGTAGATAGATATCAGTGAGGATGTGGAATGGACAAACGCTCACCTGAGTGACAAGGACCTGAATGTCATGTTCGAAAGAGCTAAGAATTCGCTGCAGTGAGCCAGCAGAGAGGCGAGCCTCCTGTGCCTTCACCTCTGGGATCCTCTGCTTTTTCTCTTCCACCTGGGACAGAACCTCTTTGCAGTCATTAAAGAACTTCTGTAATTCATGAGAAGCAGACAGCATCTGCGCTCTTGTCTCCATCAGCTCCAGCAAGTCCGCCCAGGCCTCATTCACGCCGTCTTTCCACTCTGCTATGGTAGCTGCATCTGAGTGGCCATAGTCAATGAGTTCATCCACCATCTGATTCACAGCAGAGATGCGTTCCTGTCCTATGCTCCCCGTCTCACTAACAAACTCTGTGAACTTCTCCTGAAGAAGCTAAAAGAGAGGAATAGAAGTTATGTAAGGGGGATGGCGATATAAGAAATCATATTTCAATGTTGTGAACTTCATAAAATAGAGAAGTTTATCTTGGTGGAGATGGCTCAATTACCATATTTGTCTAGTGTTAGACAGTAGGCATGCAGTGTTTGGTTTGGACTGAATGAAAACTGACACAACAATAAAATGAACAAATCCATGGTGTGTGCCCTGAGCTATTCAGCTAAGTACACTTTTTCCCACACTTTCCTTCAAGCGCACTTGGCTGGCATAATGAATATGCACCCAGTGCCCCTTTTTGAAGGCCAGGTGTACCAGACTGGCTCTTGTTCTGCTAGAAGAGATAAGCAGGTACTATGCACATTCAGAATGGACAATATGATGGTTTTTGGACACTTATATTTATCATTATTCATTTGAAATGCTAAAGACCTAAATGGCACTGTCTCTACTTGGTGGGAATAAGGGGAGTATGTCCCTCTGAGTCACTCGGCTGGCTGATTCAGCTATGTTTGTGCACCCTGAGATCCTGCTGTTCAGATTTGTACAGCACAGCATTAAGCCAGCTATCTGCAACCCTTGGGAAATATTACATATTGATTTGTAACATTTTATAGTGTACATAAATAATGAGCATATAGAAAAAAACACTATCAGGGTTATTCACAGAAGGGTGAAGAGTTTGGAGAAGGCAGGAGAATTGAACAATCTAGGACAACATCGCTGATTTGGAAAACTTCCCCAATTCAGCTCACTTTCCAGTTCAGCTATCTTGTCCTACATTGTTCCCTTCTGCTGCCTTCTCCAAACTCTTCACCCTTTTGTGAATTCCCCTTTAAAGGGGTGCCAGGAATGTCTTCTTTCACATTACACTGGAAAACATTGTAGGTTCATTGTAAGTTCTTCATTCCTCACATTTCCTTTATGGCAACCCACAGGCAGCATGTGGGTTTTGAAAATGGCACTTTGGGGCTGCCTGCATTGAAGTAACAAGGCACAAGGTTACGCAATAGTTACTTTTTATTTTCTAATGACAAAAGATACACTTAATAAGACACAAGGCCTAGAAGCCTAAAGTCCAGATGACCTGTCTACTTCAATAATCCACAAGATTTGGGGTGGCATCACATCCTCTTTAACATAGTTAGGATCCTAACTCATTGGGACACATGTGGTGTAAACTCATAAAAGCATTATAGAATACACAGCTTTCTAGTAGTACTTACAGTCACATGTTCAAAATCCTGGCCCAGCTCTGGAGACCCGGCCACCACCTCCTTCTCTGCAATCCACTGCTCCAGCTCATCCACCTCGCGGCTCAGCTGAAAGAGCCAATATTGCTGTTCCAGTCGCCCCTTCCGCTCCTCCACCAGGTCCTTCAGAGACACGTAGAGCCGATCAATCTGAGACTGACGCCTACTTATCTGCTCACTATGCAAGGACAGTAGTCAGCGCATTAGTCAGGAACACCATGCAGGGAACACTTGCACATATAATACTCTAAGCATCAGCTACATAATCTTGTCATCTACAACAGCATCATCCACCAGAACATCTAAGGGCATGATGCGACATCAGGGGAAAGAAAGCATCTATAGGATTATATATTGCAGCTTATCTGTCCTTAGATGTGGTGGCTGTATTCAGTTTTTTAGGCTTTTTTCACTTTATTTTTACCTGACGATCCTGCCAGTAACACACTTCCTTTCCAAGGGTGACAACACTCGCTCACCCTATTGTATCAGGATAACAGTAACAGGACTACTGAAATCTCCTCTTCTCTCTAACACTCACTCCCCATACTATACCCATGTAGAAGCAGCATTGTTACCCTTGGACAGGACTTATCTTCAATATGGGGGAGAAGTGTTTTATAGTCCACAGAGATAGTTAGGAACAATGCTATCTGATAACAGTACAGCACAGGCAGAAAGCACAGGAAGTTATCCGCTTCCAACATTTCTAGCAGGTTCAACACATGTTTTCTTTAAACTTATCAAGAGATATAACAAACACTTTTAATGGTATATTTAACAAACCAAGCGTGATTCGTTTTAAGAGAAGTTTATCGTTACCGTTCACTTTAAAGCCTTGGTTCTCTCACTGGGTCACCGTGTGCCTTCCACTATGCTGGGTGAGAGGCTCCTCCTGTCAGTTCTCTTGCCAAGCAGCCATTCAAAATATGCTGCCCGGTGCTGAGTGTCTGCTTGAGGTGGGATGGGGCTAAGGCTGTGAGGGCGCTCCACCCATACATACAAAACCCCTTACGTGTATTGTAGAAGTGCCTGGACACGAGTGATGTCACATTCTGGCTCCCGTCACCTCTACAGGACACTCAAGGGAGCTGTAGAAGCATTCCACATATGGATGGAGCTCAATCATAGCACAGTAGCCCACACTGGACTGCAGGCTGAGGATCAACTCCAGCTCTTGTAAGCTATGGAGATTGGGTGGATCTTTTGAATGGCATCCCAAACGCACCTCCCACCAGCAGTTCGATCGCCTGCACCAGTACACGTGGTACCGCAATGCTGTGCGTTTCATTGCAGTGCGACTTGGGTCGCGACTTAATGACCAAGGACAAATGTGGGTCCTGAGGTTACACAGGTTGAGAACAACTGATTTAAAGTGTATGCAAAGGTGAAACTGTTTTAGTTTTGGATAGAGTGTGCAAGTGTTAGATCCCCTGTCAAGTTTTTCAAAACCAAGTACTGTCATTGTCCCCATTGGGAAGATTTGCCCTTCTATTTCCCCCGGTGGCCAATGTCCGCAAGAAAAGGGATGAGAAAGCCAAAATTTCAGAGCTGACATCAGAGCAAGTGATGTGGGTAAATCATCTAACAGGGACAAATTGTCTGGTGACAACTGTCTAAGATGGGAATCTGGGGAGATTTCCTCTCAATGCCTGCTGAATCTCTAGGACAGGAAGTGAAGGTAAATTTCCCCAGCAGGACACAGACGGCAAAAAAAAAACCCTTCCCTTTTCTAATAAAGAAAAGTTTTGGCTATACATACACTTTAAGAATTTATTCCCATGGGCCTTTTACAGGCGCTCTATGTGTTAGTTACATTGGATTACATAAGGGTCGAGAGTAGCTGGACAGATAGAGCATAACGTTGTATTTATAACATGCAGATCCTTTGCACTCAGGGAGGATCAGAGGAGGAATACCGTAATAGGTGCATTTGGTTTATTTTGGTGTCAGTCAGATCCTGCTGCACGTATGGAAGCTACACTTGACCACAGAGCTCAGTGCAACGAATAGCACACAGGATGTCTGATATTAACCAGTTGACATCCGCGGTGTTAATTCCCCTTCCCATCCAGGCCATTTTTCAGTATTCAGCGCTGCGGTACTTTGACTGACATTTATTCCGTCATGCAGCGCTGTACTGAAATGAATTTTATACCCTTTTTTGGGGACAGATAGAGCTTTCTTTTGGTGGTATTTATTCACCACTGGGGGTTTTATTTTTTTACTATATTAAGGAAAAATTACCGAATTTTTTTTTTAAAAAAACAGTTTCCCCTATATTAAATGATAAAACATTTATTATTACCCAATTTTTTGGTAAAATATAAAAGATGGGGTCACGTCGGGTAAAAAGACACTAAACATGTCAAGCCTTGAACGAGCACATATAGGCGATCGGCGGGCTATGGACCGCTGATCGCCTATATTTGAAACACCCGGTAACGGTGTTTAATCGTCGGGTCTTTTCTGCCCGTGCGTGCCCGCTAGGGGGCGCGCGCGAGCAGAAAAAAATTGCCGTCTGGAGACGGCAACCCGCAGATGCTGCAGTGCCGTCCGTCCGTTTTTTTACTACGGGCGGACGGCAAGAGGTTAAAGGACTGCGGTGCTGAAAGAAATATGTCGGCTGCCATTGTCAGCCTCTCCTTATAAAAATCCTAGTTTCCTAATTGTCATGCTGACCTTCTGGCTTTACTACTTCCCGAGCCACTGACCCACAAAAAGTATGTCCATCCAGAATTATGACCCCGACTCTGCTGTCTGCATATTAACTGTTTGGGTTTATTGACTACATCTGCATGTCTACACTTCTGAGTCAATTCTGGATACCCATCAAAGGAGGCCTTACCAAAGCCAGTGAGCTTGTTTGATATTTTCTTTGTGTTTGATCATTAGCGCAATTACTGAAATAACAGAACCTCTGAAATAGTTCTTCCAGGAGTGCATATCATCCCGGGCCATTCTCAGAGGCCAGAGAATGTTGAATCCAGACAACTAGCATTTTCAGAAGGTCAGTTATGGCAGGTTAAACATATTTCCCAATACAGGTTTTCCTTAAAGCATGGACTTTCTAGGGGTATGTTTTGTCTGTTTTCTATAATAAAGCTCAACTCAAGGTTTAAAAAAAAATATATACTTACACTGGTCCAGCTTGACACAATGTAAGTATATATATATATATATATATCTGCAGCTACTACAGTATATTACAGTGTCATCTGGGTCCAGGAACAGCCGCTGTGCTGATCAGCTTCCTCTGTACTGTTAAAACAGAGCAGGTTGTTTGCTCAGAATGGCACTCATTCCGAGGACACCTAGAGGATTGCCATAACGTCACTGCCCCTCGTCCATTCATAGAACGCCTAGTATGAAGTAATTTTGTGTAAAATAACCATTAAGACATACATCAAGTATTGTCACAGGCTCACCTGTCAGGGTGCCCTAGGTCTAGGAGGTTACGACACTGCCGAGACAGCTGAGCAATGGTTTCCTCATAGTTCTCAATGGTCTGTTCCACCATAAGGTGCTTTTTCAATAGCTGCAGCGTGCTCTGCTCATCCTGTAATAGAAAAGTTATTATTGCAGGTGCCAGTATGTAAAGACAACCTCAACTGGGTAGTAGTAGACCACACTGGGTAAGCTGAAGATTCACAATAATCTTTTGTTGCACAAGACAAGTGTCAAAGTTCCATATATGCATAAAGATTTCCGTTGTGTGTGAATATGGTTTTGCCTTGCAGCACAGGGGTCCTTGGTTTCATTCCTTCAAATGCATTTTTATATCTGCCTGGAATTCACCTCAGTAAACCCCTTTCTGTATGGCTATACCATTTTACATTATGCTTGCTGTACTCGATAAGCAGCGGAACTAAAATCAGAATATAACTCTCCGTCTGTAAAAAAGCCAAAACTTTTTTGTTAACTTAAGTCGGGAAAAGTCCAATGTTCTGTCAGGTTCTATTTATTGCTCTGTGTACCTACTGGGGAGATTTGCCCTTTCTATTTGCTCTAGTGACCACTGCCCCAAAACTGGAAATGTAACCTCACTTTGTAGATATTTCTTCCCACTTCCTGTTGTGTCTACAAAACAGAAATGAAGGGAAATCTGCCCAATAGGACACAGATGGCAAAAAAACTAACTGGAATTCTAACCCTTCCCTACTCTATCAACAAAAAAAAGGCTTTAGCTAAATATTATCATTCTTCCCCCTTTGTCATAATGTTTCATTATCCTGTGTCTCTTTGGACCAACACATTTTCCAAATATTCGGATTAACATGGGGAATTAGTATTAAAGTGAAGCCCACAAATAGACAGAAAAAAAATGTCTGCTCCCAATAAGAAAACCCAGTACTACATGAAGTACTGCCTGTTCACCTGTAGTCTGTCACTCTCAGAGAATCCATATACATCTATATGAGACAGAGAGGGTGGTATGTCTCATCCATATACATCTATATGAGACAGAGAGGGTGGTATGTCTCATCCATATACATCTATATGAGACAGAGAGGGTGGTATGTCTCATATATGGATCTACAAGACAGACAGAGAGGGTGGTATGTCTCATCCATATGGATCTGTGAGACAGAGAGGGGGGTATATCTCATCCATATGGATCTACAAGACAGAGAGTGGGGTATATCTCATCCATATGGATCTACAAGACAGAGAGGGTGGTATGTCTCATCCATATGGATCTGTGAGACAGAGAGGGGGGTATATCTCATCCATATGGATCTACAAGACAGAGAGGGGGGTATATTTCATCCATATGGATCTACAAGACAGAGAGGGGGGTATATCTCATCCATATGGATCTACAAGACAGAGAGGGGGGTATGTCTCATCCATATGGATCTACAAGACAGAGAGGGGGGTATGTCTCATCCATATGGATCTACAAGACAGAGAGGGGGTTATGTCTCATCCATATGGATCTACAAGACAAAGAGGGGGGTATGTCTCATCGATATGGATCTACAAGACAGAGAGGGGGGTATATCTCATACATATGGATCTACAAGACAGAGAGGGGGGGTATGTCTCATCCATATGGATCTTTGAGACAGAGAAGGGGGTAAGCCTCTATGCAGATTTGACTGTCAAAATTGAATTTTTAGCCCTGGACATAATAAAAAATAAAGCAAATATATACAAAATACTCTAAACTCCCTTTAATCAGAATATTATATCATAATATTTATAAATGTGTAACGTTATGATATACTCAAAATTAATCATATCTACATTAGCATGTGTAATGCACTTTTTTAATTACAAAAGTGAACTGACACTATAAAGCCCAAGTTCAGCCAAAACTCTTTGTTTTGTGCACAGCAGGGAGAGGTTAGTGTCCTTTGTCAGGTTTTTATTGCTGTGTCCATATAGGGGAGATTTGTTCTCACTTCTTGTAAGGACAGGAAGTGATGGGAAACTTCTCCAACGGGAACAAAGTAAAGGTAAAAAAAAAAAAAACATTTTAAATGAGGAAGGGCTAGAACTTCCAACATTGTCTTATTGCTACCCGTGTCCATGTTCTGGTGACAACTGAACCTCCCATTTGTGTCACAGGGACAGAAAGTGAGGGAAAAGCTCTACAATGGGGGGTGCAGAAATGTTTTCTGTTCCCAACTTTTATCAAAACTTGTAAACAAAACTTAGCTAGAGATAGGTAACAGATCCAAAATTTGCAATAGTTTTGGAAATGAAATTTCTGGGGTTTATATTTGTATGACGAATAATCTCTCACCTTTCCCTTATCATCATTCATCATGAGAAGTTCCTGCTCGCTCAGCCATGTCTCCACTTCACCCACATCAAAGTAATATTGCTGCACCTGGTAGTTGATGTCTAACAGCTGTTGCCGCCTTTCAGTTTCCTCCCGCATCATGTTCCACATCTCTCGCAGGCTCTCATACCCTATCCGGACCCCTTCTGCCTCTGGACTGCGGATACTGGCAATGGCTGATGCTCTCTCCAAGATGTCGTCCACTCGAGGTTTATGTACCTGGATCTCTCGTCGTAGGTTCTTAACAGAGAGGACACAAGACCACTTATTAGAACACAGTCAGGTTTGTAAGCCTCTACTGGTGGTTCCAGAGCAATAGTGTATATTATATGGCAGGATGGACATCAGAAAATCCCGTCAGATGAAATTCCCATCTGGTTTTGGCTGTACTGTTGGTTAATTTTGCTGTCTGCTAGAGGTTTTAGTACTTCCATGCTCTACCCAAAACTTAAAGAGAAGCATACATACACTTTAACACATTCCAAATATATTAATACATTTTAACATTTACCATATCACCTAGGCAAAAAAGGCGCTAGGTCTAAGAGGGAGTTGGAATAGCTATTTTAATGCTTGTCAATTTGTGACATTTTGACTTACTTTTAGATGCAATGGATAAGTGTAGCTCTAATACAGCGGCATCGGCCTCCATAGTGGAGTAATGAAGTGACATGAATGACAACCTGGGTTGACACTTTATTCATGTCGATGTGCTGGAATGATCTTTGTGTGATGAAAGCCACGGTTGTAACCAAATTAGATACAATGATCAGAAAGAACTGGAGGATTTTTGTTTAAGCTATTTCACTCCTCGTTTTCCTGGTGGTGGCACCCCCCAGAGATTGCTCTGATTTCCAGGGGGGAGCTGCACAATGCTGTCGAGGGACATGGAGACTTGACCGGTAACCATGTCTGCTGAAATCAAGGAAGACCTACAGAGAAACCAACAATCCAAACGTAAATGGTTGGATTGCGCTAATGTTCTCTGCTCATGGATGTTATCATTATTTCTATTTGATATGTTTTAATGTAAAAGTTTAAATACCTCAAATATTTTCAGAAAGCTGATGTAGACCTAATATGTGATCTTTTACTAAGCCCTAAAGAAGGAGACATTGGAAGATTTTTTTCTTGGTTTTAGTGTTCCTACACCACAATCTATTCAGCGTATTGAAGAAAACTAAAAAACAAGGCAATAAAAATGTGAAATTAATAATTTAAAAAAACATTTCAAACTGAAAATACACAGTAGCTTTTCTTTAATCTCTAGGACACCATTCTCAGCTTTTTATCAGTGACTGCCAGCTAAAGAAATGCTAAATCGCAAGGTTACAATATCATTTACCTTATACTGCTTAACTGCTACAGTTTAAGTGTAGTAACCTGCACCGCTCTGATTTCAGCTGAATGGATTGTGATTTCTTGCTATGGGTTACTGCACTTATGAGCTCCATTGAATAAGACCAAATGTCCTATGAAGGACTACTCAGTTCTAAATCTACGGACAAGAGGCATTCAAAAGGTGCAGAACTGTGATACAGTTTTACTTTAACCTGCAACATAACAATGGTACAAAAGCATTTTGCAATTGAATTCTGTACACAGCATGAAGTCACCTGGTTTTTCTTGATGAGTTGCTGAACAGTTTGCAAGTTGCTTCCGTGGTCTTTAGAAGTAGCAAGAGGCAGCCTTTCCTGTACCCAGGTCTGTCATGGAGCAAAAACGGACAACATGAAGAATAACACAATGTAGATGCAGCCATAATACACGGACTGATCAAGACAAAACCCAACAAGCTGACATTTTCTAAGAGAAATTCTGTAGCAGACACTGGCAATCTTTCAGCTGCTGTAGAACTATGCATTGCAAATTGCCCTGTAAGCAGCTGCCCACCCGGGCATGTCAAGATATGTGCACATCTTCAAAAATAAAAGACACTCTTATGTAAAGAATTAAAAAAAGAAAGAAAGAAAAATGTCTCTCGAGTTGGCATACCTATTCTAGCTTAATTAAACTAGTTTGCTTTAATTGCACCCTTATAGCGCTCCCACAAAAATAATAATTTTTAAGGAATCCTTAGCCAGCAATTTAGGTTTGATTAAGTAGCCCAAAGACACAATTCACTCTGATCAGACTGTGATACAGACTCTTGCCTCCTTGATCATTTTATGGGGTTACATCAAAAGGAGTGCTGTGGGCCACTATAACAGGGTTTGTTATTAAAATCATTTTAATTGGAAGACCCACAAAAGTCACTCATTAATTATTCTGAATATTTGTAGACTGCGAAGCTCCGAAGCTCCGGCAGCTCACTCGCTGCCATTCTCCCCTATTCACATATTCTATTCACCGTTCGGGCAGCCGCTCGGCTATTCTGCTTGGTACCTCCGTGGTACCGAGCAGAATAGCAAATAGTACAAAAAAAGTACAAACAAATATTCTTAAAAATGTAAATAAATATTAAATGTAAAAAAATTAAGATTTTCTTAAAAAGAAAAAAAAATTGGGCGGAGTTAGCTGAGGCAGCTAGCTCCACCCAACTATTTTGTATTGGCAGGCACCTGCTTGAGTCTTCTATCAAGTCCCGGCCAATGAATTACAACTGGGCGGAGCCAGCCGTGATGTCAGGGCCGGCTCTGCCCAGTTGTTATTGTTTAATGACAGATTAGCGTTCCCAGGTCATTTGGGAACGCTGATCTGTCATTACAACTGGGTGGAGCCAGCCGTGAGATCATGGCTGGCTCCGCCCAGCTGTCATTTGCGAGGCGTTCGCCCCGCTTCTGCTGTCCCTTCGGCTCTGTCGAGCCGAAGCATATGCCTTCGGCTCGGCCGAGCCGCTTGGCCGACTTCGGGAGCTGTACGGGCTATAGTGAATATGCCCGTACAGCAGCTCTTTGGTTCGCCCTAACCGAAGGGCTCCCCCAACCGAAGCTAGCCGAAGGATCAACAGAAACTACGGCTGATCCTTCGGCTAGCTTTGTGAATAACCTCCTCAGTAAAACATTGTGCTCAGATCTATAGTACAATGAAAAAAAAATGACCGAAGCATCCACCCACAGATTCTACTTCCCATAGTTTATCACTATGGGGATTATGAACAAAAAATGTCAGAAAAGAAAATAACATCTTATTTTGCCATAAGTGACCAATCAGCATATTTCCTTCCATTCTTCCTTGCTGCAGAAGAAACATGGCTGCTAGAGCCAAGAGAAATAGTTTATTAAGCACTTTGATAAATAAGGTCTTAAGAACTCACAATTTCATCTTCCAGGTCCCGGGTGACTTGATGGACCTCTTTTGAGGCCAAAAGAATCCGTCTTCTCTCCTTCAGGGGTTCAATCAGCCGCACAATCCTGGTTCCGACTTCATTCTGTTTCTGATCCACTGCCTCTTGGCTGGCTACATCCAATGGCAGAGATGCAATCTGTGCTTGCAGCACACCCACTTCCTTGTACCATTCCTCCATCTGAGACTCCATTGTCTGCAGAGAGAGTGCAAAGTGTGAGCCAAGAATCGTGGAGAATTGTCTAGGTCAGAGGCACACGTACGTCATCGCACATAACTTGTCTGTTATATAGATATCACTACCCTCTACTTTTTCCAGCTACATGCATTTAACTAAACTCTATACAGCCATGTATATGAGCATAGAGCAAAATCTGAAAATACCTTCTAGTTGCTTTAGATCCCAGCAAGATCACATCTTAACATGCCCATACACAGGCAGATCAATTCTTGATCTTCTCTGCTAATAAATGGCAATTCTGTGGGCTGCCACTCACTTAAGTCTCCAGTAAATTACTGTCCTATGCACAATATGGTCCCTATTCCAGGCATTCGTGTGTCCCATTTGGTCATCATCTTTGATGATTTAATCCACAACAGAGTAGGAAAGCTCTTGGGGAAATTGAATCTGCAGGTATAGGAAGATAATCTTTAGATATCAAAGATTTGCTGCTTCATTTGGCCACCCAGGCTAAAATTTGGTGTCGTGGTGCTAGAGTACACAACCAATGCTCTCCTATGTAATATTACAACTAGAAAACGATATTATATTAGGCTAGTTTCACACCTAGGCGATCCAGATGCTGAGCTGTTTTTGCGCGGTTGTCGCGTGTTTTCGTTTGCGTGACTGTTCATTGAAATCCGTGCAGTTGTCGCATGGTTTTCAATGCATAGATATGTCTATGGGACCCAAACCGCACGGCAACCGCCCGAAAATAGCTCCTGCACCTTTCTGCGTGACAGGCAATTTCATCCGTGCAACAAACCGCAAAGGTGTAAACAGCTTCCATCTACTTCAATGCGGGTCTGTGTTTTGCCGCGATAAATTGCCTAGGTGTGCACCGGCCCTTTGCATAACCTTGACTGTCCAGTGGTTTAGATACTGCACATCCCTGCATGCTTTGCTAACAAGTACATGCAGCTGTGACTTGTGGTACCTAATATCTCAAGGGCCATGAGCTGACCTGTTTAAGATCAAAGTTCAATAGATCGGGAAGTGAGCGAACACATAGCGTCGCTCGCTCACTTCTCGATCCTGTCCCTGCAGAGAGCCGTGACTGTCACTAACGGCTCCCTGCAGGGATTCCCCCCCTCCCCGCTCCTCCAGCGCTGACTGGCGGAACGGACGGGGGAGGGGGCGGGTACAGTTGGCTCTGCCTCTAGATAGGCAGAGCCAGCTGTCACTCACGCAGCTGGGTGGATCCAGACAGTAATGTCAGGATCCGTCCCGGCTGCAGCGGCTCAGTATACTGAGCTTTAGGTGACGGGAGGACGCTAGTTTGTATCCTCCTGTTACCCTTAGGAGAACTATGGGGAAAAGCCCTGACCCCATAGTTCTCCTTTAAGCCTTTGAGCATAATGGGCCTGTTCTAGTAAGCACCACACTGCATAATACAGCTGCCCTGGAGCCGTCATACATTACGTTTGTATGAGGTTTCCACTTAGGGCTAGGTACACACAGACAACACTTGTCCTGTCTATAACAAGTCACATTTAAAAAAAAAGACATTTGAGAGATGGAGACCAAATGTAGAATAAGAGCACAGATGCACAGAGAACTGTTATCTATAAAGCTAGCCATACATTGAAATATTTTTTGGGATGGGGAATCTGTTTTTTTAGGAGGCATCCCCCCTCCCTGGCAGGTTATTGTATTCTAAGAGGCGGGTATGCCGCTGTCAGAAAACCTGAACAGTGACTGCGGCGGATTGCAGACACTGTTTGGCCAAGATTTATTTAATTGAAAACTCAATTTGTTGAACAGGGAGTCCCAGGGAGGCCACACACTGTCCCTAGGAGGCCATACCCTGCAGATTCCAGCGGAGTCAGCAGGAATCTGGTCAGTCGGATTTCGAGCAGTATTGAATTTAGGCAAAACAGACTGAAAAGAAGCAGCACAGAAAACTCTATGAGGGTTTCTTTATTCGAGGGAATGGTGTTTCAGTTTATGTCAATGTAACTTAGTCCACATAAGGGGCAGATCACTTTTTTATCTATTATGTCCAGTACTAAAAATCCAGTTTTATTTTTTCAGAAATACTGCATTTGTATTTTTTATATTTACAGCCTGCTGTCGGCCGGGGACAAGCTCTACAAGAGAAATTGTTTCTGGTGGTTGCTGTAAAAACAGAGCTCTGCTAAAAACAGAGCTCAGTGACTCAGAGGAAGACCAGAGATGAGAGCGTATTAGACAGTCAGCTCATAGCAAGTATACAGGCAGTGCTGGACTCTTCAATTGGAAAGGCAAGAAAGCTTTGTAAACTGACAGTCATGGATGCACCTGCAATAAATGTTTATTTCTAAAATAAAAAAAAAAGATTTAATACAAATAAATATATAAAATCTGTTTATGAACTTCTAAACTTAAAAGAAGGGCAAACAATGTATAGTTTTGCTTTGAAGGAGGGATAGTAAAGCAAAAATGTCGACATTTCAAAAAAGAAATGTATACGTTTTAGGGTACATGTATTTTCAGATACACCCTCAAACCTGTAGAGGAAGACGTATCCCACTTCACTAGGCAGGTCTATGGATGTGAGCAGCTAAGCTGCCTTGATAAGAAGTACAGCCCAGTACACAGAACAGGGTGCAGACTGACCCCCCGCTGAACATAAAACAAACAAGTTAGAGGACTGCACAGTAAGGCAGAAGGAGGAATCCAGAAACCAGACAAGGAGGACAAGAAAAAGGATGGAAATGGAAGATGACAGTTAAAAACAAATACACTACTGTACCAGGGACCAGGCAATGGGCTGATCACCAAACTGCACTGTGATGTTGGGATGAACACTGCGTCATGCTGCTGTAAAGGGAGAATGTTTATGAATGACAATGTAAGGTGAATTCTTGAAAGCAAAACAAATTCCCAGGACCAACATACAAGGTGACCTATGAAAAACTGGAGCAAAGAAACACAGACACAAAATAATATTTGAAGCAAAAGTACAGAGTACTAACCCTGAATCAGGTCACCGCAGACTGCACAAATGCTGACTGAAGAAAATTCCAATGCTGGTGACTTTATTAATTCAGACAACATGAACAGAGACAGCCCGTCTGGGACCTCCTCCAATGCGTTTCACCCACGAAGCAGGGCCTAATCATAGATTAAGATACCAACAGGGGCTCTGTGTTCATGATGTCTGGATGAATAGTTACCTGCATCTGAATATTCTTGGGAGTCCAGCAGGTCTTTTTTGGATTCGTGCAATATTTAAAAGGAACCCTGAAAAATAAAAATAAAATGTGAGCGCTTATAGACAAAATACTCACCTTTACAGGCAGCAAGTCAAATCAGCATCCCCCCTTTCCCAAGACATACCAGTGCCACTGCTGACATTGCAGGAATGTCAGATAGCATGTCCCCCGCTACATGCACTGACTCTTCCAATTGGCTGCTATGACAGTACATAACATAGTGGTGACCCAGTGGCCTGCATAAGGAACCACAGCACGTGGTGGGGGACATTCTATCCTAAAAATTTGGAAGTGGTGCATAGCACTAGCGCATTGGTATAAGGCTGAGTATAACGCTTCTTTAACAGGCTGCTCACATTTTATTTTTTGTTTAACAAGGCAACAGGGTCACTTTAATAAAATCTAAATACACAGCAGAAGTACATATATTTGTACTGTTAACAGTTAATATGTGAAAGTATTTGTAACTCTGTACAGCCAATCTTGTGATTTACACAATTCTACCACCCTGCACAGGCAAGCGACACACATAGTTCCTGATAAAGCAATTAATCCTTCTGGTTCTGCTTCCTATATCTCCTCTCAGTTTCCAGCCTCCACACTGGACAGTGAATCAGCATCATCACTTCTGTCCAGTCAGCAAGAACCTGCAGACATGTATATACTGTATATATCACAAGAATAGCTGACCACAATGAAAAATCCTTAGAATGTAAAACGGTAAACATATATGTATTTCACCTGTACATATTATGCACTGCTTGAACAAAACGTTTATTTTTTTCTTTTGGTCCAGTTTTCATGTTCAGTGTGGAAGAATCCATTTTGTGGGTTTAACCAGAATTCAAGATGGAGAAACATGTACATATAAATAAGAAATGTGTACAGATGAAGAACTGAATATGAACACATAAGTATCTGTATGTGTAACCGTCTCCATTGTATATACGACGCAAGCAAAACCTACATATGCAGCAGACATCAGGCCGCAGCTGGTAATTTATTTCACCTCCGAGGCCTAGGCGGTAACAGGGATTAGATGTCGCCAGCACACCAACACTGTACGATCATATAGAAAATAAACATTGTGGGACCACGCAGGGACCGTTCCTCAGTCCTGAGATGTTGCTTTTCTATGTGATCATATAAGGATAAAGAGCATTTCACTTTGAAACAAGCTTGTTGGTGTGCTGGTGACATATCTTATCCATGTGATACACCATGGGGGGAATTTATCAAAACTGGAGCAGACAAAATCTGCTGCAGTTGTGCATGGCAACCAATCAGCTTCTCTCTTCAGTTTGTTCGGTTAAGATTTGAAAATGAAAGAGAGAAGCTAATTGGTTGCCTTGCACAGCTGCTCCAGTTTTTCTCTGCTCCAGTTTTGATAAATTCCCTTCCATGACCATTCGGGAATGGTTGCAGCACCCTCTTAACCACATGGTTGATTTTAGTATGGTGTGCGAGAGGAATATGTTCCATGTCTCTTAGAAGTAACAGGACGGAGACAGCAGCTGCACTGACATTGCTGACTTTCCATTTTGTAAATGTTAGTTGCCTGGCTATCACGCTGCCACTTTGCTTCAGTACTTCACCAGCCCAACCCAACTAAGCAGAAAAGAACTTGTGACTTTACTTTAAGTCACTGACCTAAAACAAGCATTAGTAATGTATCAGGAAAGTCAACGTAATCAAGCCAGTGTGTCAGCAAACCTGCCTGGCAGCTAGCATTTTCAGGAGGTCAGCAATGAACGCCATCAATTATTTTAGGGAAAAGTTTACCATGAAGTGAAACCATGTTGTCAGTACATACTTAACTCTGCTGCTGCCAACTCTGCTAAACACTGCTCCAGTGAAGAGAAAGCTCCATGTGAAACAGAGGCTTACAGGAGTGCCTATCTCCCGTATCCCCTGCAGTTCTCACTGGTTCCTCCGGATGACCCTCAAGCTACTACTGTGTCCTGCAGTAACAAAAGGGTTAGTGGAAGGAACCAGTGAGCACTGTGGGGGACACAGGAGATCAACACTCCCAGAGTTGTTGATCTCAGAAGAACACCTGGTGATTCTTCATCACTGGAGCAGCATTTACCAGCATGGGTAGCAGAAGTAACAAAGCACTGATACAACATAGATTCTTTTATTTGCCAATTTTACTGCGCTGGTGAGCCAGAGATGAAGGTGACTATGAGATCTCACCATCCAAGAAATGTTTAGGCCGCATTATCTGGGCACAGTCGAAGCTTTTCCTTCAGACTCAGCACACTGCTCCAAATGTGTACAGTTAAAAAAAACAACAATCTTTTGTCACTGAATGAACCAAAGATCGATCCCAATGATGCTGGACAATCCCTTTGGCTTACCGTGTGTTTGAGATTAGTTGCAACTTGCTACTCAGTTGATAGTTATGCGGAGCTAAGCAACAGACTTGTTATAATCTCTCCCACCTCAGCAGCACATACAGTGGTACCTCGGTTTACGCACTTAATTCGTTTCTGGTCGCGAACCGAATCAATCGGTGATCAGACCGCGATCTCGTCTAGAGGAAGCCACGACAATGTGTTAGAGCGGGGGAAGATGGCTGCGGTTGTGTTTGTCACCCAATGTGGAGTTCGTGAATGGAAGCAAAAGTTTGCAGAACTTCCTGTCCGCGAACCGAATTGTTCGCAAACAGAAGCGTTCGTGAACCAAGGTATTACTGTACTCACCTTTTCTTTGCTCCCCTGCTGCTCCATCTCATATTACCTCCGCAGTGATCTTTCTTCCTAGGCTGTATCTTTTGAAACACGAAGCAAGGGAAGTGATGCATGCATGCATGTACCAGGGGTCTTTGTTTCTGTGCTTTAACTTTTTTAAGTAAAAATATTTGAATTACTGCATCCCATCTCATATGAATAGCCTGTGCTTGTCCCTTTCAGCCACTAGACCAGGTAGCTGGTACGTGATCTGGAGCACAAACAGAAGACTGGTAGGTATGCAGAGGATGCCATGGTTCATGTAACAGTCTTCTTTATTCTTCTGGCTCTGTGGCGTGTTTGTGAGTGATGACAACTAAGTAGCATAGTCTTCAGGTATCCAGAGGAGCTTGTTTGCACATTTAGGACGTGGACAAACATCACCTGGTGCAAACATGTTTTTAATACAGTCTGTTTGATCATACTTACAGCATGGTTATGGAAATGTATATTCCACTTTACATGGGATCTGGAGACTATTGTTAATGTTACCATTATAATTGTTTAAAGAAGAAAAGAAAACCATGTAAACAGTTTCTAATATCAAGGACCTCTATGAAGCCCTTTATTGCTTCCTCTCTTACGTCACAGTTCTCTAGCAACATGTAAGAGGCTGGGCACAATAATGGGCAATGAAGAGCTAACAGCAGCATCTATGCCAAGTTAGATGCGATTACAACTGGAATCGCGCGGGTCACTTTAAATTCTATAAACATAAAAATATACAGGAGAGAAAAATAAGAGGAGACAGTCATTACGATGAGCTTATACTTAAAGTGTACCGTATAAGGTCATATTCACTGCATATATTCCACTAAAATGTAATGCAAAAAGTGAAAACTTTTTGGGGGGATTTTATGGATGGGGTGAGGAAGGGTTTGAAGTTGAACCTACTTTGCATGTTTTATACCACTCTGCGTCCCAGAAATAGGGCTTTCCCTTTACTTCCTGTCTATATGATGGGTTTTAGAACAAGGAGTCAGGGAAAAACCTCCCCACTTTTTATGAGCCCTAAGTCTGGCAAAGTGGTAAAGTGATTTCAATAGCTACAACTCTGAGGTCATGTATATAACCTATAAGGCTGTCAGACTAACAAAGAGGAGACGACTCACCTCAAGCTTCTTCATATGTGTGTTGACTGTGGAAAGGTCTGGTAAAGGTTGCAATGGTTGAAGTTGCTCTTCTATCTTGAAGAGTCTCTTTCCCAGGTCTGAATAGTTTTGTACTACCAGGTCAGCTTTACTGGACTGGAAGAGCTGCTGTGCTTTGGCCTGAGTGGTGGACTCAAGCTCCACCCAACACTGACGGATCTCCTCAATCTTTTTCTTTACCACCCCGGCTAGCTCTGGCTTCTCCTGGATCAACTGTTGACCTTCCTGCAGAAGACAGACAGAAAAAAAAAATCTCAAATCCCAAGTTCACAGTGATTTGTTTTTATCTAGTACCAGAAATGTCTTATCAACCAAGACTGTCTAGGTAAAGCTGGGTATACACTGGTATAATGTTGTTCAATTTTGTCCGGTAGTTAATGGGGGTCAAATCGACAATCGTAGTGATGAAAACCATGGCAGGAGCAGGATGGAACATTTTTCTTGAACTAACGAAATTCTAAGTGAATGTGGTTTTCGTTCAGGAAACTCCATTCATTCCTAAATCAAATGTTAAACCAAATGGCATTTGGTTAAGTCTCGGATCCTGTAATCGAATGTTCTGATGAGATTTTCTGATGAACATTCATAGGAAATTCTAACTGTGTATACCCAGCTTATGGCTTCTCAACCTCAAATGATACAAAAGGCTAAGCTCAGTAGACATAACAGATCTACTGCAAACCATTTAAAACTAATTCCAAAAGTGCTTTGTTGACTTCCATTGTAAAAATAATAACTTCAACTAAAATATTGACTTTATTTTATAGAAGTGTCAGAAAGTATTTTTGAAGAATGCATTTTAGAAAACATTTTAAAACTGCAAAAATTAGGCAAGAAAGTATATGGACTTTATAAACTATAGGAGTGTTTTGGACAACCTTCAGCTAAAATAGTCAAGGGCTGCCACATTTTGTTACGGTGCTGCATGCTACCTATAAAAAAATCAATTTGACGTGCCTGGTCTAGGTAATGTTACCTTCCCCTCAGAAACATATCAGTTTGTGCTTATGTAATAGGTGAAGAAACAGAGCAGGTGTGAAATTAAGGTCTCCCTCAGGGGGTGCCAATGACCTCCGCCAATGTGACATTTGCTTTGGAAGAATTCTTACCAGTGCTAACTACATTTTTCTCGATCAAACCAAATTCTATCTGTGAATGTCGTTTTCATTCGGAAAACTCTATTCATTCCAAAGTCAAATGTTAGATAGAAATGAAAATCAACTGACATTTTGAATGACAGTTGCCATGCCTCTGTTGATATTCAGATACAATGAACTTTTGCACGATATTCTAATTATTCGAGTTTCACCTGTATATCGAACACTCCAACAGGGTTTTTGGTACGAATGTTCATGTGAAAATCTCCCCGTGTATACTGTACTTCAGTTAGCAGTGAGGCAGATTGTGTCAGGCCAGCTACTCATGCCGTCTCCACGCAGCGTGCGAGTCGTTGACAGATTCGCATTTTTGCCCAGCGCAGGGATTTGAATCTTATTTCCCTCCGTTCTGCCCATATTTGATCTTGTTATTTTTCTTCAGAGAAAGGGGGCGAAATAATCGGATTGAATGCAAATTGGTGTCTGGCTGCAGAAGCTGAGATAAGCAGCTCCCTGAAATGCCTGGAAGCCTGTAATGTGTCACACGCGTGAGACACATCTGAATTCATGATATCTGGGTCATGCCGCTAGTTCTGTACAGTGAGACAGTAATTACAGACATTTGTAAGAACGTGGCGTTAAGCAGTTCATTGATCAGGACACCTTGGGAACTGTGTGACCAGCTGTGTCCACGTGCTTGTCCCAGAGGTCTCCTCGGCCAATTCAACCTAGCTGGTACACAAGAATGCCAAAATGTAAACCTTTTCAGTGCAGCAATTCATATATTCACAGTGATATTTGAAAGGGCAGCTCCAGGGAGCAGCTATATACAGTATATATATACACTGAGTGGCCAGATTATTATGAGCACCTGACGTTTGTAGGCAAATTAGCTATAATTAGCTATAATTTCGCGCTGAAGTTGCTAGAGGGCCAGTCCATTATAAATAGGGAAGCAGGTTGTTTACTGCGACAGTAGAAGTGATTTTTTTCTGAAGATATGGGTAAACAACGCGATTTAACAGCCTTTGAACGTGGGATGATTGTTGGCGCTCCGAGCCATGGAGCGAGTATCAGCAAAACAGCAGAATTCGTTAAATGTTCAAGAGCAGCTGTTGTTAAAGTGTTTAAAGACTGGACTGTCAGCCGAAAATCTGGGTCTGAACGTGCGAATTGTGGCCGTCAGTGACTAGTCAATGTTAGGGCAGAACGGAGAGTGGCAAGACTGGTACAAGACAACAGAAGGGCAACAGTGCAGTGTCAGATTCCTCGCATCACCTTTCAACATCTCGTGGAGTCACGAGGCGGCCCAACTAAGTCATCTCGTGGAGTCATCTCGTGGCCCAACGAAGTACTGATGTACTGGTGGTCATAATAATCTGGTCACTCAGTGTATATGCACCTGGAACACATATACAGAGACTTTCACTTGCCAAAAGATTTGTAAAGTAAGGGTCATGTCACAGCAGCTATTATGTTGCAGCTGCAGAATCTCTCTTATTAACATTATTTGTTCAGTAAACATGAACTGCAGTCATTGGAAGGTCTTTGTCACAATGTGTCACGGCACTTTTTCGCTCACTGACCTTCTGAAGTGAGTGAATGCAGATACTGAATTGCGGCATTGGATGCACACCGGTGGTAAGTAGCTGCATGCACGTTGCTGTATTTTATTTTTACATGACTTCCAGTACCCAGACAACCTCAGCGGTACGACAGAGAGGTCACTAGCTCCTCTAGTAAGTGGACAGGATCATGTGAATATACGGTAACTTCTTTTTTTTTATCACCTACTTAACAACGAGCACATAATGCTTGCAGGCAGTGGGTAGACCCCACTGCAAGGGTTACAAACACTTTTGCCCGGAATTCTACTTTAATTGAATTGGATTTAATCTTCCTTGAGAAAAGGTGGTTAAGGTGGGAGATGATTACTTTGTATAAAGGTATAAAATATGGTCCATATGGTAAACTTGGTACAAAGTTGTTTATGTTAAGGTCATTGTAAACGAGTTGTTTATGTTAAGGTCATTGCAAACAACGCGGGGGCATACTTTGCACATTGAGGAAAAGAGGTTTAACCTCCACATATGGAAAGGATTATTTACACCCAGAAAATATGTAAAAGTCTTCCCAGGGGCTAGTTCTAGCCAGCTCTGTAGACTGCTTTAAAAAAACAATCTGGGTAGGTTTTTAAATGCACAAAATATAAAAACTGGCTCCTCAATTTTAAAAAGATGTGTAACACTGTAGATCCCTGGTACCCAACACGCAGCCTGACAGTGCTCCATGTGCAACCAGTGGTGTCTTGGCCAACCACCTGGAGCATTGGCAGGGCCTGAAGCATCGGGCACCAGGAGTCACAAAGAGGTGGCTGGCAGATGTCATGGCCACGTCCCAGCATCGCCAGCTGCTTCCTGCACAGCCCTGGTCACACGGGCTGTCAGGAGATCATGTGACTCTGAGGGGCTAGGACTGAGGCCGTCATTCTCCTGTAGAAGAGAGAGCTGAAGAATGGAAAGGAAACTGGATGTAAGTGATGTAAGTTAATTTAAGTTTGTTTTAAATAAATAAATCTTCGTTCATTGAATTTAAGGAAATGTTACTGAATTTGAGAAAAAAATGAACAGGAAAGAAGGCAAGAAAACTACCAATGGCCTGTTCACACTGCACTGCACCAGAAAGCACACATGTCAGTGTGATAGGGCACATGGTGGTGCGCTGTGTTAGGCAACTCTTTCTAAGTGAATGGGCTGCAATGCACCTCAATGTACAAAAACGTTCTGCTAGGAGGTTCCTTGCAGTACAGCACAACACAATGCACATGGCGTGTTGCATTGTGGTGTGCTGTACTGCAAGGAACTTCCTAGCAGGTGCATTGTTTAGGTGTGTTGGGGTGTCTCCACTGTGCACTGTAAGGCATGCGTTATTACGTGTGTGTTACTCCAACACGTATGTTATTGGACATGTGGGGGGCCGCACTTGAGGTCCTTTATATGTACTAAGCAGATAACCAGTGCGGTGAATTGCAGATTCAGGGATTATACAATTGCCTTGGGGGATAAGAAAGGATTTTTTTCCCTGTAAGAGAAAATGAGATCATGCTTCAAAAGGGTTTTCTTGCTCTGTATCACCATTCCGTTCAGTCTTCAGAGGATGCAGCTTCTTATTATATTTATGTTTCTGCTTGCTGCCTCATAAAAGATTTGTCTGAGAACTTTCATAAAACCAATCTGGCTATTAGAAATATTGTCCTCAGCAGATACTATTGTATATGGTCCTTGTATATTGTATACAGTCACTAGCAGGTCCTTTTGTATATGGTCCTTGTTTATATACAGTCACTAGCAGATCCTTTTGTATATGGTCCTTGTATATAGTCACTAGCAGATACTTTTGTATATGGTCCTTGTATATTGTATATAGTCACTAGCAGATACTTTTGTATATGGTCCTTGTATATTGTATATAGTCACCAGCAGATACTTTTGTATATTGTCCTTGTATATTGTATATAGTCACCAGCAGATACTTTTGTATATTGTCCTTGTATATTGTATATAGTCACCAGCAGATACTTTTGTATATAGTCCTTGTATATTGTATATAGTCACAAGCAGATACTTTTGTATATGGCCCTTGTATATTGTATATAGTCACTAGCAGATCCTTTTGTATATGGTCCTTGTATATTGTATATAGTCACTAGCAGATACTTTTGTATATGGTCCTTGTTTGTATACAGTCACTAACAGATACTTTTGTATATGGTCCTTGTATAATGTATACAGTCACTAGCAGATCCTTTTGTATATGGCCCTTATATATGGTATATAGTCACTAGCAGATCCTTTTGTATATGGTCCTTGTATATTGTATATAGGCACTAGCAGATCCTTTTGTATATGGTCCTTGTATATTGTATATAGTCACTAGCAGATACGTTTGTATATGGTCCTTGTATATTGTATATAGTCACTAGCAGATCCTTTTGTATATGGTCCTTGTATATAGGTCACTAGCAGATCCTTTTGAATATGGTCCTTGTATATTGTATATAGTCACTAGCAGATACTTTTGAATATGGTCCTTGTATATTGTATATAGTCACTAGCAGATACTTTTTTG